TGCCCCCCAGTTTAAATGGTATCTTGAGGTCTCTGTGGCTGAGAGGTGATACAGCACCAGCACACATTTGGGCACAAGAAGGAGGGTATGAGCTTTCCACAAAAAACAATAAATTGGGCTCATATTCAGACAATGAATCAGGAATTTCCTACAGCTCCTCTGGTCTCACACTTAGGGTTTGGCCAGCTGCTTTCAAAAGTAAGCGTCTATATATAGAGACACTTCTCCCCAAAACTCTTGTTTTTCAAAATCAAGGATAAGGGTTTATTACCTCTGCTTTAAAACTTTTTTTTTTTTTTTTTTTTTTACCAGAGGCTGAGGGTCTGCTGAGTCACTTTATTAATACTGTGCCTCATTTAGAAATTACATGGGCTTTAAAAATTTAATTTTTAAGTTATGCTGCTTGTAAGAAATGGCACAGATGCAGAAAGCTCACACCCTGGCAGACACCCACAGCACCAAATGGTGTCACTGGTCTTGTAGCAAAACTACCAAAGAGCCACACCTTATGCATCCAGAAAAGGGTGTTTAGAGGGATATTTTCTTGTTGCAAAAAGTTGGGAAGTTTTTTGGGTCACAGAGATGATCGGAGAGTTGAAGCACCTCTCCAGTGAAGGCAGGCTGAGAGGTTGTTCAGCCTGGGGAAAAGAAGATTCTGGGAAGGGCCTACTGCAGCCTTTCAGTACCTACAGGGAGCTTGAAGGAAAGAGTGAGAGGGACTTTTTATCAAGGTCTGCAGTGACAGGACAAGGAGCAATGTTTTAAAACTGAAAGTGGTTAGGTTTATATTAGCTATTAGGAGGAAATTTTTCCCTGTGAAAGTGATGAGACACAGAAACAGAAAAGGCATGGATGCTCCATCCTTGGAAGTGCTCAAGGCCAGGTTGGATGGGGCTCTGAGCAACCTGATCTAGTGGAAGTTGTCCCAGCCCATGGCAGGGGTGTTGGAACTATGGGTGTTGGAAGATGAACTTTAAGGTCCCTTCCAATCCAAACCATTCTGATAACATGAAGGAGTGGCCATGAGGGACTGGAAAAGTTTTGGTTACAGTTTCCACATTATTTACAGGGTGGGGTTTTTCTTCATCTTTTTGGTGGGATAGGAGAGGGCAACATTGACTCTACTTGTCCATTACACTCACAGTAAATTGCAGCACACAAGATTTCATTGGATTACACAGAAGATGTAGCTGTCAATTTGATCACACGAATGGAAATCCATTAAAAACCTGTATCAAGAAAAAGTTCTGAGTATCCACTAAAGAGTGTTAAGAAACGAGGAGCACAGGATCTGAGGCATTTTGCTGCAGCAGAGCACTTGGCCTTTTAGGAGCCTGGGTATGTGGATGATCTTATTCAGCAGCTCAGCAGCCACAGGTGCAGCTGAACAAACCCAGCCTGGGCTGACACCGCTGGGGCTTAAATGCCTGCAGCAAGCCGAAACACAGAGCTTCAACTAAATGAGCTAAAAGGAAAAATCCTTTCAATTGATACCAAGTTCTTCAGCTCCTAAGAGTAGGGAGGCCACAGGCACAATCAGTGCAATGATGTACGAGTACAGTACCAGTGCCAAGCAAAACACGGTGACAGTGCTTGAGGACAAGGCAGAGACACGAGCCCTGGCAGGGGTGGCACGAGCAGGCAGCAAGGGCTGTCCAGCAGTCACTGTGCTGGCTGACAGGAGCCAGCACCAACCTCAGGCAGGTACTGCTCCTCCCTAGGAGTGTGCAGGCAGGTTTTTTGACTCTCCCCACACAACTTGTACCTCCTCCTTTAGGTGTCCCATTCCCTTGCCAGCCCCCGTGTGCCATTGCTGGCTTCGAGCTGATGAATGAAAGGATACATGCACTCCTGCTGCTTCTTGCAGGGAGCAGAAACCCAGCAAATCAGTCCTTCACCTTCTTCCCCCTTGTCAGCTTGGTCCTCACCCATGAATCCCCCAGAACCTGAGGTCCTGCTGGTGCTGTCCCAAGTCCATAACACCAAAAGGAGACGCTTAGGCTTCCCAGGCACAGCCTTGCCACGCTCCTAGTCCCACTGTCCCAAAAAGTCCTGCATGCCTGGCTGGGTTGCTGGAGATGAGCATGCTGAGGCATTACCCTGTTTCTTTACCTTCCCTGAGTGGCCTGTCCTCTATTTATGAGTAAAATCCAGTCAGAAAATAGTGTGATTTAAGTGCTGTCCCTGAAGGTGGTGTTCCTGGTGAAGGTGTCCCTGGTGTTTCTCAGATTCACAGCCAGCAGTCCAGAGTAAGTTTAAGTTTTGTCTTTTTTCTGCTTCTTAGAGAAAGGTTTCTTGTCCTTTCTTGCCAGGTTTAAATATTTTCCTTGATTTGGAGCATGAACCTCTAGCAAGTTTTAAAGAATTTATTCTGAAATTCAGATGATCACCTGCTTCTTACTACTGTATAAAATGACTGGATCCCAGAGACAAGCCGTGACTCCGTGGGTCAGGTACTCAGCAGGACAAATGAGGGAAATCATGGGCTTGTCTGTACTTCTCTGCTCATGAAATTACATATGCAGATGGGAACAGATTCAGCTGCTGAGATGGTAGACAAATCCATCCCAGGAAACAGCAGGGCATGGATCTCATCCTGCCTCCAGTGCACTGCTTTGCTGGGTGCCAGGTATCACTTGCTCACATGCTCCTGGGTGCTTTGCTGCCGGTGCTGCAGCATCCCAGGCTTTCACATCCTGCATGGCACGTGGGAGAACCCCCTCAAACATTCTCCTGAAATCACTCATCCCAGGCACAGCAACAAACACAGCCAACTCATCCTCCAGGGGGTGGCTCCTGCTGCTTGAGTTTGTGGGACAGGCATTGACAGGTCCTGAACACACCTCCGGGTCCTAAAGACCCCGCAGGCAATGCTGCACCCTCTGTGATGGGGCTTAGATGTGACACAGGTGGCTTATATTGAGGTTTACACAGCAGTTCTGGGCCTTCTGTTGAGGGATTTTGGGAATGTAACTGCCAGGAGGCAAGGTGCCCAGCGGGGGTCGGGTGACCTGGCTGGGAATTAGGTGTCTTTTTTGGAGTAACACATGATGGGCATTAAATAGGCGTGTTCAGGCTGGCACAGTGGCATGCCAGCGCTGGCTGACCTTCGGGTAAGGACTGCGGTGAGCTGGAAGTGTAAGACAGCTCTGCAAGCAAACAGTTAATTGAGTGCTTTCCAAGACAAATCATGATTTTATGACTACAATGCGTGAGATCTCACCCCTTCCAGCAGAGCAAGGGGGGAGAGAGCAGATATCAGACTGTATCTAATTTCTGAACTACCTTCCCATGCCTCATGCACGCACTCCTCTGCATTTCATTCAGAGTGAAAGGGTACAGGAGCAACATGTTCCCTGCTGGATAGCCAAGCCGGGGACAGGTAGTGCAGAGTTGTGGAGTTGTGCATCATGAACAGACCTCAGAGAAGATCTGGGGTATATAGAAGGCAAAAAATAACATGTGAAATGGTTTAGGGTATATTATTTCATTGACAATGTGGAAAAAACAAAAGCAACCATTTCTTGTGTCACTGTCAAGTTCAGTGGTTAATGCTGGTGTAGATGGAGGTGTGTAGATAGAGTTGTGTGATCAATCCTCTGACGAGAAAGGAAATCAAGTTAATTTAAACATAACACATCTGGCAGCGCTAGAGTTAAAAGCAAACCCCCTCCAAGCGAAACCTTAGCTGCCAGATGTAAAACCCCACCTGCCAGGCACTGCACACTTAAACCGATCCCACAAGCCTTCCCACGTGGAGTTTACATCCAAGGGGAGAGCATGTACCAGTCTTGTTCCCAGCTACTTATGTTAAAATACACACCCCTGTGATAAACAGCTGCGGTCCTGCAACAGCTGCGGCGGCGGCAGATGGAGCCCTGCCCGGAGAGGGGCAGCAGGCCCGGCATGACCAGCACGTACCCACGGTCCCCAGAAAGCCACCTCCGGGCGAGTGGCACCGCGCTCCGCGGGGCACAGCTCCGTGCCAGCAGCGTCAGCTGGGTGCTGGGCTGGAAACTCGGCGCCTGGGATAGTCCTGTCTTAAATATAGAGGGGTCTTCTGGAAGATAGATAAATAAATAAGTATTTTTAAAAAAATAAATTTAAGGGCGTTTTGTTGTGTATTTCTTTGGTAATTCAGTCAGTGGAGCACCTGGGGATGGAGCCAGGGTTTTAGAAATTATTATGTAACTAGAAAACTTATCTTTTAGCTGCAGGTATTTTCAGTTTTCTGGTACTTGCCAATTTAGTAGTAGTTTGTGGGATGCAAGGGGGGCAGGGGTCAACAACATGCATAATAATGTAAGGTTTTAAGAGGCATAACTTCACGCAGAGAGCATGAGACAACTAAAGATGCCTCAGAGACCCCTGTCCCACCAGAGGGTCCTGCCAGACGAAATCCAAGTGGCCACCCTCTCCCCGGAGCGGGGGATTTATATCCTCCTCGGGGGAAGCTGCCCGCGCTCCAGCGAAGGGAGCTGAGCCTCCGGAGGGCGCTCGGGTGATGCACAGAGACACGCGTGGGGCAGGCAGCATCTTCCCCGTATCGCTCCATCCCAGGCGCCGCCGGGGAAGCGCGTGGGGGAATGCAGCGCGGTGCTGGTGGCGGCGGCGGGGTAAAATCAGCTTGTTCAGCCGGCTTTTCCGCTGGCCCGCGCGGGAAAGGGAAAACCAACGCTCAGCCGGGAGAATGGAGTGCCGGTGCCGGCGTCGGGGCAGCGCTCCCAGGGGACGGGACGGTGCGGGAAGGGCGGCAGGCGCCCCAAAAGCACCCGCACCGTCCCATGCCCGTGGTGGGGGCACCTCGGACCGCGGCCACCCTCCGCCGGGAGGTGGCAGCTCGCAGCGGCGGCAGCCCTGCCTCCGCGGCCGCGCACCCCACCCGCTCCCGCCCCCGGGTCCCCGGGGGTGCCGGGAACAGTCGTTCCCCGTCATTGGGGCAGGAGGCGGGGCCCGCGCCGTATAAGAAGGGACCGAGCGGGCGTTTCACTCCCAGGTCCTGAGACGCCTTGTCCCATCCCCGCCTCCTACCGCTGCTCGCGGCGTGACCCGAGCCCGGATCGGCCCCCTCGGGGAGGCGACGGCGGGGCTACAGCGGCAGCGCCGGTGCCACCGAGCAGTACCAGCGTGAGCACCGGCGGCAGCAGCAGCAGCAGCCCCGCTCCCACCTGCCCGTGACAGAGGCTGGAGCTGCGAGCGTCGCGGAGCGGCGTTTGGTGCCCGCGCTCCGGAGCCCCCGCGCCGCGGCCGTGCGGCGCCGCGTCCCGCTCGCCGATGAGCGCCGCCGCTCTCTACAGCCTGGACTCGCCGGCATGTTATAAGAGCTGGTGCCTGGAGCCCGCCAACTTCTACGACGCCAAGGTGGGCAGCGGCGGCGGGCCGGGTCCCGCCTGCAAGCCGGGAGCCCGCGGCGGCTGCGGGATGAGCGGCGAGGAGGCGGGGGGCGGCCTGGGGGGCAGCGGCACCAACCTGGCCGAGCTGAGCGCCGCCGCCCCGGCCATGTACGAGGACGAGAGCGCCATCGACTTCAGCTCCTACATTGACTCCATGTCTGCCGTGCCCAACCTGGAGCTCTGCAACGACGAGCTCTTCGCCGACCTCTTCAACAGCAACCACAAGCCCGAGCGGGGCGGGGAATACGGCGAGTACTTGCCACCGGGCGGCGGCGCCGGCCGCGACCCCGCCAAGGACCTCGGCGCTGCCATGACCACCCTGCTGGGCTCCGAGCCCCGCACCGCCTCCTCCTCCTCCTCCTCCTCTTCCTCCTCCTCCTTCTCCTCCCGCGGCGCTCTGAAGCAGGAGCCGGACTGGAGCGACAGCGACCTCTCCTCCTCGCTGCTGCCCTCGCAAATCGCCACCTGCGCCCAGACCATCATGAACCTGAGCGGGCAGCCCACGCCGCCCACGTCCCCCGAGCCGCCGGGCAGCAGCTCCCCCTCCAGCTGCAGCACCCGCTCGCCGGGCCCCGCCGCCGCCGCCGTGCCCGGGCCGGCGCAGGGCGTCCCGCCGCCCGCCGCCGCCGGGGGCAAGGAGCGGGGCGGCAAGAAGTGCGTGGACAGGTTTAGCCCCGAGTACCGGCAGCGCCGGGAGCGCAACAACATCGCCGTGCGCAAGAGCCGCGACAAGGCGAAGCGGCGCAACCAGGAGATGCAGCAGAAGCTGCTGGAGCTTTCGGCCGAGAACGAGAAGCTGCACAAGAAGATCGAGCAGCTCACCCGGGACTTGACCAGCCTCCGGCACTTCTTCAAGCAGCTGCCCAGCGCTTCTTTCCTGCAGCCCGGCTCGGGCACCGATTGCCGGTAACCGGGGGGGAGCGGGACGGAGAGACGGACTCCGGGAGACGGTGGATAAATACCTCAGAGGGCCGTGCCGAGCCTTGCCGGGCCGTGCCGCGGCGCCCCGGGCCGGGCCGGGCGCGGCGTGAGGCGCGGAGCCGCGGCGGGACCTGCCGGCCCGCGGCCGCGCTCGGAATGCGGCAGCGACGTGGAGCGATGCCTGGGTCTTTCACCACGAAACTTGCGAAAAAGGGAAAAAAAGCTAAATATATTATTTTTTTTTCTTCTCTCCCCTTAAATTATTTTTGTAATGGTAGTTTTCGTCTTTTCTACATTTTACTCATACCGATGCAGCTATGGTACATCTGTTAAAATGATTCAAAATCCCATGTATTTTAGACAGTAGGATGGAAAAAAAAAAAAAAAAGACTGAGCATGCTCAACCTTTTATATCAATTTTTACAGCATTTCTAAGAATAAAGAAAAGCATTTTAAATCAACCCTGCTCTCGTTTGCTCTGTGTCGTGACAGCAACGGGCTGGCGGCGGGGAAAGCTCTGCTGCCCGGGAGGGGCTGAACACGGGCGGGGAACACGGCCCGGGGGTCCCAGGGCCGAGAGGGGAGGTGAGGGCAAGCGAGGGACCCTGCGTTACTTCGCACAGCATCCAGAGAGCGATGCAGGGGTGGGAGCAGCCGGGAGACCCCTCGGCCGCGAAGTCTGCTCCCCCCGGAGCCGCATCGCTGAGCCGGAGTGCTGAGTCAGGGGTTGCCGTGGCGCTGGTGGGACCGAGCAGCTGCACATCAAGAGAGACTGCTCTGTGAGCGGGACTCTGCCAGAAATACCGTATTCTATATCTTTAAAAAAAAAAAAAAAAGTGCATGGGACTAGAAGAGCATGATTAAAAGAATACCACTAGTTAAAATTCCTGTTTAAAAAGTTTCCAAGGGGTTTCCATTCTAGACAATGCAAAGGTGCACCTACACTAACATGTTCCATAGCAGGGACCAGAGCTCACTTCTGTAGTGAGTCCCAGAGGTGTTGATGCAGCCTCAGGCTTCAGCCCACTGCAGGAGCTGGACACTTTCACTGATCCTGGCTAGTGAAAGCGAGAGTGGGCAACTGCTGCTCATCACAGAGTCAGTGGTCACAAAGAGTTTCACTGATCCCTGCTAGTGACAGCGGCAAGGCAACGCTGCTGCTCATTGCTGAGATCGGGCAACTTTTCTAAATTTCAGTAGTGCAGTGTTAAGAGCATCTACAGCATCTCTAGGGCACTGGCAGAAAAATGGCCTGACACAACAAACCCCTCCAGTTTTCCCAGAGACTCAAATCTTAAATGGTTTTGAAGGGGCAACCCCAGTCTCACACACAGACCTCTACACAGGAATGGGCTCCCATCTCCTTTTTCCTTACAGAGAGTCAGGTAAGAGACTGAAATGCTTGGAGGAGGTGGGAAAAAAAGGGGAATTCAAACGCTGGGTCATTCCTTTAGTAATTGTGACATCCATAAGACTTTTCACGATTGGCCTGAGCCACAGAAATGACCAGTGTGGCAAGTTTGCTGTTCCTTTTCTGCTGGTTAATCACATATGGGTCCTGCACTAAAACCACTCCTTCCTCCTCCTCTGACCTGTAAGGGGCTTTTAAACACTGTGAAAGAGTAAGGGGGCAAAACCCCATGCAGTCTCTAATTCTTATATTAATTATTGCAATGCACACAGAGGAAGATTTTGGCATTTATCTGATCTGTAATCTCCACAGTCTGGGTGGGGGTTATTGCGTGGCCTACAAGCAGTTTGCTGCTTACCCATAAAAGAAATTAGAGTGAAACACCCGCTTTGTGGGAAGCTACAGATAACTCACAACTTCTATGCTGACAGACCAATTAGCTGTGAAACATTAACTTTATATGTGTTCAAATCTCTGTCTTTATAACAACTATTGCAAAGTGATAACTCAGAATTCACATACCACGCAGCGTTTTGCAGCAGGTCTGGGATACACTGATAAAACTCAGCTTAAACCAACTGTCAGAGCAAGGTATTTATTTCAAAAATATCAATAAAATTTTTTCCATTGACACATAATAAATACGATATTAAAAATAAATCACAACCATTCAAAACTTCCAGAAAAAGATGTTTTACATTACATAACAGCAAACACAACAAAGAACTGTATTGTTAGATTCTGCACTGATCAGAAAAAGAAAAGTTCAGAAAGTTGAACAATATATAGATTTTTTTTCAGTGTTAGCACAATGTGCTTTATAAATCACAGTTTTAATAAACTATCTTAATGCTTATCACACTTGCATTATACATTATCTGTGGCACTAGTTAACAGATAATCACATTACAAAGTCCACAGATACTATAATAGCTGACTAGAGTTCAACTCTGTCTTGCTGCAGCTTCCAGAAGAACAATTTCCTCCAGCGCAACACAGTTGGGGTGACTGGTTATGGAGTGGACGTAGCAGCTCAATAACCCCACCTCCTTTCCCAGCACGCTCTGCACCTCGTAAGTCTGCAGGAATAAAAGCATGGTGAGTAAAACAAACAGTGCTGGACGTTCTGTTCCAGGCAGCATTCAGCTGGGAAGATGCAGCATGCAAGATCCTCTTCCAACAGACAATTTTTTTTAAAGGACTCGGAAAGTGCATTAGAACTATTGGAAAGAATGAATATATTACATTTTCAGTAATTAGATCACATTCCTGTCTCAGTTGCTGCCCTAGCAGGCTTTAAAAATGAGCTGTTTAAAAAGAAAAAAGTTACTGTGACTTTGAACTCAGTTTTGCTGAAGCATAACCTATACATGGTCCCTTTACCTTCCTTTCTGACCCTTGCAGGCCTTCCTGCGTGCTGGCAATGGTATACTACATACATACTGTACATTGATTACCTGGGCTAACTAAAGGAAAAACCATTTTGTAACCCTTCTTACTCTCCTCCCTCACCCCTTTTAACTTTTTGCTGTTCATGCATCACCACCACCAGCACCAACACAGTCTCTCCTATTTAATGATCCGACCGGCATTTCACCCACGAGTTGTGCCTGAGTGAATTTGCAGAGGCTGAGCTCTGTGTGGAGGAGAGGCATGCAAGGCTGGCATGGCTGCACTCAGAGGAGACAGCACGATAACACAAGAACTGGTAACACTCACAGTTGATATTTCACTTGAGAGGGTATCTCAGGTGGCAGGTTCACATCCATTTCTTTCCTTAACAGGCCTTACAACAAGCCTCTGACTGTGTCCCTGCCTTCATCTGTGCTGTGCTTCTGTGCAGGTATGTGATACCCATGGCGTTGCCTGGTTCAAGGTATAAACAATCTTTTTTCTTTTTTTTTTCCCTGGATTATTTTTCCCCCAGACCGGTTCTGCAGTCCAGTTCGCTGTGCAGCTGCACAAACAACTCCACTGGTGTAACAGAAGGGCTGCCACAAGGTGAAGAATGAGTAGCCAGGGCCAGTGAGGGCTAAAACCAACCTCCCTGCCAAAAGAATTGATTACAAAGCTACACCCTTAGAAACTTTAGCAGAACTGGCAAAAAAATGCCACCTCAAGTGGTACTTCTTGTGACTAATCTTTATCCCTGTGTTTCAGCCAAGGAAGAAAAAAAAAAATCTGAGTTGCTAGACTTCTACACACTGAAACATGAAAAAGAGGTTGTTTGAATTCTAATAACTTGAAATATAACTATGTTTTGCCAGTCTGTAACCAAACCAGACACATCCTGTAAAACTCAGCAAGACTTAATTGCTATTAAAGGAGCAAACACATTTTGGAAATTTCTTGTATCTCTTTGCTTAAATGAAATATACACGCTCCTCCAGCACAAGAAAAATAATTTATTATTTCAGAATAACTTTCCATTTTAAATATTACTCACAAATGCCACTAAAAGCATGGAGCATGTAATAGGAAAATGCTGGAAAACTTGTAAGACAGGGAAAGCAAACTGACCCCAGTACATATCACCTAACTGAAGATATTTAACTGGGATGATTAAACAAGACAACAAACTGACCTTTGCTCCCATTCACGTACAAGGGAGAGGGAAAATCTTGGAATCCTAATTGGACTTAATGACTTTCTGAAGGCTGCCGACCATCCAGCAGCCAATGCCAGGCAGGCACCTACCCAGGAGCCTCCCTCACCCATGATAAATCTGGGTCACTGTGCCAAGTGTCAGGGTTCTTCTGATATCTCAGATTAAAGGAATAACTACTTCATGATTACATAAACTGTACTTTAGCCCATGGATCTCCGTGGCTCATGTGTGTTTCATTCATACAATTATCAAGTAATATCTTGCATGCATTTTGCAAATTCTTCTCCTATCTCCACCTGCCTGTACTTTCACTGTTGTGCTGTTACAAAGCAGCTGTGGTTTATAGGATTTAGAAGACCAGACCCAAAAGGTGGGATGCTTGGAGGGTATCTTTGCTGTCTTTGGATCCTCAGCCAGAGAAGGGAGTCAAGCCCAGCACAGCCCGTGGCCGCTTTGAGTGCTGTTTGCAAGTGGCTCTGCAGATCCACAGCTGAGCTGAAGCTGCACAGCCCATCTGCTGCACCCCTCTTCTGAAAAGGAGGGTGTGAGTCTGATGAGATGGCAGAGCATCAGCAGCTGGAAGGTGGGATTGCCAAAGGGCACAGCCCACTCAAGTCACAGCCTGGACATGGGAAAAAAAAAATCATTTCACTTGTAATGAAATCTCTTACCACTCCTAGTGCAGTTCTGAACAGCCTGGAAAGTCAGAATCTCCACCACTGGAGATTTTCAAGACCCTGCCACCACAAGTCATGGCTGGCCTGCCACACCTGACATTGGTACTGTGCCTTAAGTTCTGTAGTTTAACTTTCTTTGGACAGCATTCATTATACCTACCCCATCCTCACAGGCAGAGGACATCAGGAGAGAAGAGATTGTCCTTTGCAACAGCTGGAATGAGAAAATTCACAGGTTTTGTTCATGACAAAAATCATAAGTGTGCAAAAATGTTCTGTTTGCAGTCATATAAAACAAAGATTTATCATTTTAATATCACACAGTTTTGTTTCTCTGGCCAAGAAAGCAGAGGAAAGGTGACACAAAAAATGTTCAGAATGGAAGTCTAAAAATACACATTCTTTTTAGACTATGTAGACTGAAGTTTCCAAAGGCCTAGCCTAACAAATCCCTTCATCTGGGCCATAGAACAGTTTGCAAACCTCAGGGTGAACTCAATTATTTGAGCATTATTTGAGCAAGACCTGGGAACGGGGTTCTTAGCCCAATGAAACACAAGTTTAGGATTAGATTAATTATGGGACAGTCTTACATATTTTAATTTGTCTTCTGACAGAACTGTTCATAGAAGTGTGGCTTAGAACACCTATGTGTCTACACATCTAGTCTCGCTGCACCTGATACACCAGCACTTATTTCATGCCATACCTTTACTTTTACTGTGCTTTGAGATCGGGATGGACAACTCAAGAAGACTTCCAGCT